ATATATATATATACACACATATATATGTCGCGCGAAAAATTCTCAATATTTAAGTATATTTCTCATAATAAAATGTCTACTCCGCTTGCATTTATACGTTTCTTAAGAACAAGCTAGATTTTTCAAACTCAGCTATTATTTCAAAATTTTCTAAAATAATAAAAATTTTTTAATAGTATATTTTTATTACAGAAGTATGTATCAATTTCACATATATTAAAAAGATAAGCCATTTTTGTAATAAAAAAATCTATAAAAGATATTCAAATTCGAAAGAAGATATTAAAAATTTATCTGACAACGAAGAGATAAATATAAGATTGTACGCAGCTCTATGATACTTTATTTGACAGAAATTCCTTCAAATCATCGTAATCATAACGTGAAAATTATTTTCTATTTGCAGTATCAGTTCGGTATCGTGTCAAGAACGGTGATGGTCAATAATATGTCGTTATTGTGACCCAATTAAAGATTATTGGATTTCAGACCCGAGAAAGCAAATCTCAAGAAGTGCTTCTTCAGTTACGAACTTTATGCGATGGAAATCAATAATTGGGAACAAAGCGCAAGCAACGAAAAAAGAAAAATGATATTAGTCGCTCATAGTTTTATTTTATAATAAATTTTCGACGTGAACTGTAACAGTTTTACAGTGCAATATATTCTCTTTCTCTACTATTATAAATATAATAATATTGTCTTATAAACGTAAAATTATTTAAAAATCTATTAATGAGTTTTTTAGCAGCAATTTAATCTTTCAACAGCTTCCATTCTTTAAAAACGATAATTTTTAATTAAAGTAGAAATATTTTAATAAATCATATAATGAGATAAAAAACGTTATGTTCACGATAAAATATCTTATAAAAGTATTAATAATTTTGTAAAATAATAATAGAAACAGTATTATTTTAATGTATAAATTTAACTTATGTTTAATAACTAATAAGTTAGTTATTAATAACTAATTAACTTAACTTATTAGTTATTAACTTATTAATAAGAGCTTAATTTATATAATAATGTTTGCAAAATCTAATTGTAATTTGTTTAATAATACAAACAGCAGCGTAATACGATGCTATGAGCACTCATTTTTGCAATAATCACTTTTACATGTAATCAATTTTCATTGAACAAAAAGATTAATCGATATTTTCGATAATAAAATCTCGCGATACAAGTTTTTGAAAATAATTTCGTATAATCTATCTTTCATCTCAAGATAAAATTTGAGTGTATCCGAAAGAAGTAGAAAAATACAACGAATGAATTTTTATCAATTTGTCTCTAACGGGATATTAATCCCATTGCTCTTCTTCTTCTTATTACGACCCTCATCTTCCTTAAATTGCTTGGTACAATCCAGAATCCAGCAATTTTCAATTGCAGATAAACGTTTTTCCTACAGCAAAGTTGAATTATGTATGCAAAAAAGAAAGATAAAATAAGCATAAAATAAGCTTCCATCGACTTATATTT